CCTGACCCTGGAAGAAAGGGGAAAGTGCACTGCCTGCCGCCTTTCCTCCCCCTACTGCCCTCAGTGGCCCCTGCGCCTGCAGTCACGCTGGAGCACGCGTGCGTAGTGGCGGAGGGGCGCCCCCTCCCGGGGTGCACGTCCGCAGCAGCTCGCTTTGCAGGCCACACGGTCGGTCGGGCCCTCAGGAGGTACAGCCTTGTCCTGACTCTGTGCGCAGGCAGCCGTCTGCCTTCCAGCTCAGTGCTCATTCCATGATTCAAACTCACTGCTCTGCTCGCGGAATCTACAATTCCAGCTGAGGGGACTGAGTGCTCCCAGGCTGGCACCTCTCACCGACCCAGGAGGGCCACGTGGCATGGTTGGCCCAGTTAGTCGCGTGTGGCGGGTCGCGGGCAGGAGAGCCCAGGTCTCCTGCTCCAGGCACATGGGGACTCTCTGTCCCAGAGAACGTGCTCATGTCCTGAGGAGAGAGACCAGGCGTGCCCCAGGTTAGATGCCTCATAGCCAGGGGGTGCTCAGCACGCACTGCCGTCTCCGCATCCAGCCTCTTCTCCTTTCAAGAGTCCCTGCGCCTGCGCCGTGGGGACAGTTAAGGGGGCGAGGTGCTCAAGGCAAATGGTCCTCAGTTCCAGCCCTGGTTCTACCTCCTGGTGTGACCTTAGACAAGCGACTTCACTTCACGTTACCAAGCCTCAGTCCCCTCGTGTGTAACATGGGGAAACTGCAGGTCTTATTTTCTAGGGTTATTGTAAGAATGGAATGAAATCATTCACAGAAAGCCTTAGCCCAGAACCTGACTCGTGGTGAGAGCTCAGTACGTTTCAACGCCTGTCATGAGTTAAGCCTGAGAGGCGCAAAGGAGCAGTGTGTCGCCGAGGAATGCCAGGCGTTGCAGCAGGCTGGCGGAGTCTCTGGGGCCGGCCGCTGCCTCTCCTGCCTGCAGCACAGGCCAGCCTCTGCCTCTTGACCCCAGGGCCTCTTAGGCCTCCTCTCTGTGTCCCTGGCACCTGGCACAGAGTAGGAACTCAAGGAATGTTTGGTGAACAAATGAATGAATGAGTGAATGTCCTTACTCATCTCTGTGGGCTTCTCCAATACCACACTGCTGCTCACCCACCAGGAGGGGACTGGACCAGAGGCTTCCCCGGACACCCCAGGGGTCAGGGCCCCTTCAATGCCAGTTCTGCATCTGCATGGGACATGGGGCCTTTTGGGCATATAGAGAGCCTTCCCTGGGGATGCCAGTTATGGGGGGAGGAGGGGAGGCAGGAGGGAGGGGTGGACCCCTAGCCTGTCCCTGAGCCAACACTGACTCACCCCCAGCCCCTTGGAGGGCAGCTCAGTCATCTCTGGGTGCCAGCCCTGCCCCCTACCCAGACACACCCTTTGAGGCCTGACCTGCTACCCCCTGCGGATGGTAAGGACTGAAGTCTGGAAGGCCAGAGAGGGCATCAAAACAGCATCCTCCTTATCAGCTCACTGATACTCCCACCATCCCATAGGAGGGGAGGCAGAGGTGGTCATAGCGCATTCCGCCAAGAGGTGGTGGGCTTGTCCCAAGGCCCGCCGCCCAATTGGAAGCCTGGCATCCTGACTCCCAGTCCTGCCCTCTGCCCTCTGCCCACGGCAGGCAGCCCCGTGAGCTACGCCCTTCGGCCTGTGGTTGGCTGCCGCTGCCCCTCCTGCCATTCAGCCACATTTCCATCCAGAAGCTCCACCTCCGCCCAGAGCTCTCCTTCCCTCATCCTCTGATCTCAGTTTAGTAGTGTCCCTTGTCACAAGACTGTGAAATTCTTGAAGGCAGGGGTGGGTTTTCCTTGTCTCTCTGTCCTTTACAGGACCTGGCACCCAGCAGGGGCTCAGGAAATACCTGTGCAACGCTTCGTGGGACAGATGGATCCGGAGCTCAGGGGGCCAGTGTCTCCTCTAACCTCTGCCCTGCCCCCAGCAGCAATCCCAGATCGTGAGAGCTGGCAGGGCCCCAAACAAACATCCCTTTCTGAGAGCCACAGGGGTGCAGGAACTTCCCCAAGGTCCCCAGCTGGAAATCAGAGGGCAGCCACCTGTGCCCACCACCCCACAGAAAGCCTGGAGGGGCTCTCGCTGCTCTGCTTCTCCCTTCTCCCCGCAACTCCCTCAGCCCAGCCCCCTTTGGGATTTGGCAGAATAAAGGCACAGTCTTTATTCTTCTAGCCCCTACCCCAAACCAACTGGCAGCTCCTAGCCTGCTGCCTTTGCCCAGACAGAGGGGCAGAGGGGCACTGGCAGCTTGGAGATGGAGTTGATTTTCCCTTTGGCAGTGGGGAAGATGGGGGAGGGGAGAGGCTTGCCCCCCACCCCCCACCCCGTCCCCGCCAGGTGAGGGGAGAGGGCAGGGATGCAAGTCCAGACAAGAGGCAGAGGGAGAACATGACTTCCCCAGCTTGTAGGGTCACGGCATCAAGCCCGGGGCGGTGTGGAAAGCCAGTTGTCCCTGCACCCAACTGGCCTGGGTCCCCACTTCAGAGCTGCAGCCCTCGGTTCCTGCAGACCGAGGCTCTCTCTCTCGACTCCCGAGGTGAACATTTGCTGGCGGGGGTGAGGGCATGGGAAGCTTTCCTCCCCTTCCACTGCAGTCCGCTCCTCTTTGTGTCTCCTGCCCCATCCCTTCTTTTCTCCCTCCTCTTCCCTCAGCACCCCCCTTCCTTCGGCTCCCCTCTCCCTCTTTCCCCTTTCTCCCCTGGCCCCTCCTCCTCTCCCGTGTTGGGGCTGCTTTCTCCCTGACTCAGCAAGGTGCTTTATAAGGTGCTGAGGGGCTCAGCCAAATCCAAACCACATTGTCTGTGCAGACACTCTCTACAAGGAGCAGGCTGCACACCAGGGGAGAAGGACTTGAGAGGCTCCCTTCTCCCCCTCCCGCTCCCCTTCCTTCTGTGGCTCCCTCCCTCTGAAAGGGTGGCTGCTAGGGGACCTCCTGGCCAGCCTCAGTGCCAGTCACCCACTGGGCATCTGCCTCCTTGACCTTGGCCTGGGCATCAGAAGATCTTCGGGCTCACTGGCCAAGAATGTCATTGAAACTCCACAGCATTCTGGCTGGGGGAGGGGCGGGTGGGAGGCCCCCCCCCCCAGCACTTTTGCAAAGGGCCCCTCCAAGGCAGGTTTCATCAGAGCTGCTCCTGATGCCCCAGAAAATCCCCTGCCCCCAACCCCCGGCCAGCTCCCCTTTCTCAGCTCATTTTCTCCTCGTTTAGGAAATGAAAGAAAGCGGAAAAAAAAACCCAAAACAAACCCAACAACAAAGTCTGTCCCACTCCAGTGAGGTAATTGAAAACAAACTTCTTCCCCACCCCCCCACCCCCCCATCCCAGTTCTCGAAGTGCAGAAAAGGGAAGAGCTGCCCTGGGAACCCAGCGCTGGTCATGCCCACGCTGCCTGCTCTGACCCACAGGCTGCAGGGGCTATGGCAGGGCAGGCAGGGTGTCCTTCCTTCTCGGGGAGGGGGGGAGGGGGGACCCAGGGCAGGAGTGGTGAGCGCAGGCTCCGATGCTATTCCAGAGAGGAATCACCTCTCAGGTCTGGCCCACCACCTCTCCCTCCTTGAAACAGCAAATAAACAACAACAAAAGCAACGTATTACCAAGTGATTTAATTGGCGGTCCGGTTCTAGAGCACTCAAGCCTTGGAGACCAAGTGACCGTCCCCCAAGAAAAGCCACAGAGTGGGGATGTCTGCAGGCCCCCAGATGAGAGCTGTTTCCTTTGCACGCTCCTTGGCAGCCCTCTGTACAGGGAGGAAGGGAGACCCTCCAGGGAGGGTCTGGGCTACGGGTCCCCTAGGGATCCCGCCCTGGCAAGTCCCAACCCAGGCCTGAGGGAAGGACACAGGGAGAGCGCTCCACACTCAAGACCACCCCCACCCCAGCACCGGAAAAAACCTACAACCCAAACCCCAAAGGCACGAGATGGCCAAATGGCTTCTTGGGGAAGCATTTCACAAGTGGGGACTCTTGGTCTGTCCATCGCCTTGAATTCGAGCGGTCCCGCTGAGTCACCCCTGAAGCCTCTGGTGTTGAAACTGGTCCGGTGCCTCGTGCTGATTAATGAATTACAAATCCCCCACCCATGAGCACTCTCCTGGCGGCTGGGAAGAAGAATGAAGAACCCTGTGAACTTGAGGGAAAAACCCTCAGCCAAGTGCCCTCTTCTCTCCTCCACGCTGGGCAGTGGGCCTGTGTTGCCCTCTTCCTGCCCCCCACGGGGCATTGTGAGCCGGTTAGTCACCTGCCCCAGCCCCGGAGCCTCGCTTAGCCTCAGCTTTTGGAAATGGGACAGGCGGCGGGACAATAGGCAAGGGGGGCGGTCAGCCCAGACAAAGGGCAGCAGGAAAAACACCATCACTTGCTTCGAAGCCAGCTCGCTGGCATTTGGGAGGATGTGTCATTGCATTTACTCAGGGGGAGGGGGAGGGGGAGGGGAGGGAAGGTTAGAGACTTGGAGGCAGAGGTAGGGTGAGAGCTGGGACCCCGCCGGGCGGGGGGCAGGCGCCCCGGGCCGACACCGAGGGAGAAGAAAAGGAGCGGCCGGCTCACTCCCCTGGCTCTTGGGAGTTTGCAGAAGCACTGATGCCCTCCCGCCCCCTCCCCCAGGAGGCCCAGGGTGGTACCGCCGCAGCCTCGCCTCACCTCACCCCCCCCTCGGTGTTGTGGGAGGGAGAGGAGCCCCAGAAGCCCTCCCTTCCCTCCTCCCCCCTCCTCCCCCCACCCCGGGGAGGGCCGCTACAATTTGTGGTTACAGCTTTACACGTCAGAAAAAAAAAGTTTGCAGAATGTCCCACACCGAAAAAAAAAAAAAAAATCCGAAACCGAGCGAAAAAAACCTGCGAGTGGGCCTGGCGGATGGGATTATTAAAGCTTCGCCGGAGCCGCGGCTCGCCCTCCCACTCCGCCAGCCTCCGGGAGAGGAGCCGCGCCCGGCCCGCCCGGCCCCCAGCCCCATGGACCTCCGAGCAGGTAGGAGCCAGGCGTCCGAGGCCCCGGCCCCCGCCCCCGCCCGGGAGCCGCGAGATCCGGTTCCAGTCCTTCCCCCTGGGAGTCCCGAGCCGGGGCCCGGCCGGGGAGCCGGGCGCTGCCCCCGCCAGCGGGGCTTGGGCCAGGGGAGGCACGGCCGGGCGCCTTCGAGAGGGGCCGGGCCGGGACGCGGCATTCCTTGAGTCCGCTCGGCGGGGAGCCCCGGCGACCCGCAGACCTGGGAGGCGGCCACCTGGAGCCCGGCGAGGCGGGGTCGCGGGATCCCGGAGGAGAGAGCCCCGCGCAAAAGTCGGGGAGAGCGCGTCCGAGGCGGGAGCGGGGCTGCGGGAGGGAGACGCGGCGCGCGGGGAGAAGGGGGCCGGGAGAGGAAGAGGGAGGGAGGGAGGGAGGCACGGGGAGCCCGAGGCCGGGCCGGCGGGAGGCGAGGAGAGGCCGACACCTCGGGCCGCGCCGCTCTCCCTCCCCGGCCCGCCGGGAGGGGAGGGCGGGAAGGAGGGCGGGCGAGAGTAGAGAGGAGGGCGGAGGGCAGAGCGGAGCCTGGCTGGTCCGGGCCGGGCCGCGGGAGTCGCGGCTTCCTCGCTGCGCGCCGCGCGGCCGGAGCCCACCATGCTGCCCGCAGCGGGGGAGCCGGCGGCAGGTAGGGGCCGGGCGGCAGGGCGGGAGGCGGCAGCGAGACCCCCGGGCCGGCCCGCCGTGGCCTGGGAGTGATTAGTGCGGGGGGCGGGCACAGCCCGGCCGGACCGGGCAGGAAAGTCTGTCACCGGCCGGGGAGCTGAGGCAGCGGCCGCTCGGCCCCGGCGGCCCGTGGGAGGGCGGGCGGGCAGGGCAGGGAATTGACGCGCGGGAAAGGGCAGCGGCCCGGCCGAGCCCGGAGCCCGGCGCCCCGGACCCCGCCCCCGCCCCCGCCGCCGGGAAGGGAGAGACCGGGCGGGAGCGGGCCGGGGGCGGGGCCGGGGGCGCGGGGGCCACACAGGGGGAAGGCTCCGCCGCTTCGGGGAGGGGGCCGGGAGCGAGAGGTCACCAACGAGGGTGAGGGCCGGCCGGGTTCTCGGGCCGAGCCCCTCGAGGGAAAGCCCAAGTCCCCGGGCCTCGCCAGAGTCCCCTCATCCCTGCTCTCCCTACCTTCCTTCCCAGCAACTCCACACTGCGCTCCAGAAGCCCTCCCCAGACTCCCAATCCCAGAGGACGCGTCCCTGTTTCCTCCTGCGCCCGGCCTGGCCCTCCCCGCTGGGGTAGGAGGGGGCTGCCAGGAGGGGAGGGGGCTGGAGGCTTGGCTTGGCAGGAGCGGTCCGAGCCTCGGAGAGAGGCTGTGGGTGCAGGCACTGGACCCACTCCTCTGTCAGGCGCTCTCTGACCCTGACCCATACAGGCTGACACCTCTGAGCTTTCATTGTCCCCACGGACCCCCTCCCGGCTCCAGGAGCACACAACTGTTCCCCCCGCCCCCGCCGTAGGACACAGGGATACATCCCCCTGACAGATCAGACCCATTCCCCCCACTGGCTCAGACACCCTCGCTGCCCTGGAGCCAGGCACTCACTCAACCAGGGGAGGAAACGGGCATCAGGCAGAGGTGGCAGCAACTGTCACCCAGCTGCCCCAGAAGTCTCTCCTCCCAACTGATGTAATGGCTCCCTCTCCCCCTGGCAGAGCCCTGCGCTGGGCCCGTTCACACTTCTGCACACCACCCCTCTCCACCAGCTACTCCATTAGTGACACTTCACATTCCTCCCCACAATCCCACCTGTCTATTCACACCCTGGCTCCTGCACGCTCCCTCTGAGCCCCTTCCATACCCGCTGGATAACAACACCTTTTCAAGCACACCCACACAATTGCCGGACTCTTTCCTTCATGTTGCCCCTGTGCCTGCCTTCTGTTGGCTGCCCAGCTCCCCGGCTCCACCCAGGGTCCTCTTGCAGCACCATCCGGACCCTCTGGCTCCAACAAAAGCCCAACTCCTGGGTGGGAATGGACTCCACAAGGCTGGAAGGCTGGCCCGCCCATCTGTTTCTTTGCCTGGGCCTCAGTTTCTTCTTCTGTCATTTAGGCTGGAGGAGAAGGGCAGGGAGGGGGCTGCTCGTGAGCACAGCAGGGGTGGAGCATCACGTGGTCTGGAATTTCACACGCACAGTGCAACCCCTTCACACAAGCCCAGTCACCGGATGAGCTGGTGACAAAGTGAGGTCTCCTCACTTCTGGGCCTGTGTGTACCCACTCACTAAGCCGATTCTCAGTTGCCTGGGGGATAGGGAACCAAGGAGAGGATGGAAGGGAGAGAAGGAACAGAGGGGAGGGCAGCCAGCCTAGAGGACAAGGAAAGATGGGCTGTTTCTTTGGGCCCTTCCCTGAGAAGGGGGTCTGGGAGGTGACCCCCAGGGCCGTTTCCTGGATCTCACACCACAGTGGACCCACCACCCCCTAAACCACTCGTCCCCTCAGTGCACCTCAACAGACCCCTCCAAGGTCACCAGGATGCCGGTCCTGGTCTGGCCTTTCCTCTGGCTCCCACATTCAGCCCAGCACCTCTGGAGCTCTGCGATGCCTCCCCGGCTCCTACCTGTTAGGCTGATGGCTCTTAGCCACCAATCCCAGGTGCACGGTCTCCTGGCTGACCTGTCCTACCCACCCTGACTACCCTGGCGTATTTGCACTGCTGAGCACCCTACCTTCACTGCGTGAGGTCACACTGGGGGAGACAGGCTGAGGGGGCAGCTGCCTAAACACACGTATACGGGTATGCCTGTCTGTCTAGGCGTGTCAGGGTGGCCATGCGCTTGCGTGGGCTGAGTGTGTGTGTGTGTGTTCATGAGGGGGGGCCCCGGTTCCCAGGGCCCAGGGATCTGGATGGAATTAGGGGCTGGCCCGGGCGGGGGCCAGGATGGGGGGGGCCGCAGCAGGAAACGTGAGCTGCTCTCATTAGCTCCTCACGTGCTCAGCTGGATTTATAAACACAGGGGAAGACGGGATGTAAACAATCAGTGGGCAGCAGCCAGAGGCAGAGCTGGGGCGGGGGCTGGGCGGGGGGCCAAGACTCCGGGAGGGGGCCCAGGAATCAGACCCCGGTGGCCGGTCCACCTGCACACCATGAGCCTGGAGAGGAGGATGGATGTGAGGGCTCCAGGATGCCCACTGGGCTTGCCCTCCTAGGAACACAGGCAAGTGGCGAGCTGTGCTGAGTTCCAGTGCTCACGACTAAACCACAGGTGTTCCCTGCCCCGGAAGGCTTTCAGTTTTGCTGCCTAAGATATGGGACATCTTGCCCAGAGTGGAGGCTGTCCTAATAGAGTGTAGAGCCCTGTCACCTTACTCCTCTCCTGGCCTCTTCTCCCTCTGGATTTCTGAGGCTCCTTCCCTCTTTCTGGTTCTCTCCATGGGTCAATCCCGAAGCTCCTTCAGCTTCCCCCCCCCGCCCCCCCCACCAGCCTTCAGTGACACAGTTACCTCAGAACTGAAATATTCCTGGAAACACCGGCCTTGTCTGGTTAATTTCACGAGCCGTTTTTCTGCCCAGATGACTTCGCTCTTGTTTTTGCAAAGGCTTCTCCCCCTGCTGTCCCTGTATAGGGAGCCAATCCTCCCCAGGGATGTCCCGCAGGGCCCAGAAGGGGAGGGGGCAAACAAGGCCCAGAGCTGGGTTCCTGACCCCCCTACCCCCCCGCACCACCGTGGGCCAGGCAGAGCCCAGTCCCAGAACTCTGGCTAGCAGGGCTGCCCGGAGCAGGGTGTGGGGTAAAGAGGCGAGCCTAGTGCTCAACTGCTGCTTCAGCTGGGACCCTCGGCCTTGCCACTAACTGCGAGAAGAGACCAGGCTCAATCCTGAAAGCTACCTCAAGGCTGCAAGGACTGCTGCCCACCTCAGCAGGTCTCCAGCCTCTGAAACTAACCCCACATTGTACCCAAAGGATCCTGGAGGTGATTCAGCCAGATAGCCAGGCTGAAGGCAGCAGAGGAGAAGGGCCTGGAATTGTGTTGGGATGTGAAGAACGGAGAATAGGAAGGAACTCAGAGAGTCAGCAGGAGCTAGGGGTGGAAAGGAAGAATGAGGAAGGGACCGTTTGGGAGGGAAGCCACAGGCTGCAGATGGGGAAGAGGAGAAGGGGAGCCTGTCTCCCCAGGGAGCAGTTATGAGCCTGATCCTGCTTTCTGTCCTAAAACACACATGGGTGGGGCGCACACTCACACACACACACACACACACACACACAGCCTAGAACCAAGAGCCCTCCACCCGAGAGGGCAGGGTTCCTGAGACTAGTGGCAGCCCTGCTACTGCGTTCTGTCAGTGAAGCCAGCCAGGAAAGCATCTGGGAGTCAGGACTGAGCAGCTGCGCCATTGCCAGAGTTCCCACCTGAGCCCTGCACTCTCAGAGACATTCCATAGAGTGTGACTCCTAAACCCCTCCTCGTTTGTAACCCTCTCTAAAGCCCCGACCCAGTGTTATGACTAAGTCTAAACCTACCTAGTCTTCTTAATCCTTTCTTAACTCCACACTTATCTTAAGTACAATCAAATTGTTAAACCCCCATCCAACTTATTTCTATCAAAGCAACGTATGTCATTGTAGAAAATTTGACAGTATATAATGTAAACTATACGGGGTTTTTTGTTTGTTTGTTTTTTGTTTTGCGGTACGCGGGCCTCTCACTGTTGTGGCCTCTCCCGTTGCGGAGCAACAGGCTCCAGATGCGCAGGCTCAGCGGCCATGGCTCATGGGCCCAGCCGCTCCGCGGCATGTGGGATCTTCCCGGACCGGGACACGAACCCATGTCCCCTGCATTGGCAGACGGACTCTCAACCACTGTGCCACCAGGGAAGCCCCATAATGTAAACTAGAAGAAAGAAACCCCTCGTGATCTCACACCTACCCAAGCTCAAAGCCCAAACTAGCCCTACTCTTGCTGACAGGCCATGCATCACCCCATCTGACAGCTAAATCAACAAATTCACAAACCTTAGCCTCAGCCAACCCTCTGCCTGCCCAGACCTAACCACATCCCCCAGCTGGACTCAAACCTCAACCACACTCAGTCAGCCAAATCCCAATAAACTAACCTGAAGCTTTGAAAGGAACCCAGTCCGTAAACCTAACCTAGCTCAATGCCAATTATAGCCTTACTCTACCCTAACCCTCATTGCCACTGCCAGTCCCAATGCCCACTGACTCCTGGCCTAGTGCTCTTGACCTTGGACCTCACCTAAAAGCTGGGAAAGTCATGTTTCCCAACTGCCTAGTCTGTCCTCACAGCATTGACCCCCTGGCCTCTGGTATCCTGCGGGGCCCAAATCCTCCAGCACCATCATCAGACAAGCCCTACTCGGCAGATACATCATATTCTCTCTCTCTCTCTCTCTCTCTCTCTCTCTCTCTCTCTCTCTCTCTCTCTCTCTCTCCCCTCCTCCTGTCCCCTCTCTTCGCTGCAGGCAGATCACCGGGTCTCATTCAGGTCACACTTTTCCCCATCCAATACCCTAGAGGAGAATGGGGCAGATCTCCACACTGCAGCCAGCCTCTCAGAGTGACACTAAATCTCCTTCAATCTAAGTCGATCCTACACTTTCCACACCCGGGAATCAAATCCCAGAATGTACCCACCACCGCCTGCCGGAGCCAGCCCCGTGTCCTTCAGCCCGCCCCTGGTGGTCCACAGCTCCACCTTGCCTCTGACCCGGGTGGTTTGACCCTATGTCCTGCCTCTGGCTCAACTCCCACTCCTGGCCGCCTCTGGGGCGCCCCTCTCAGGGCTGACTTCTCTCAGTTTGAAGCTCTGACACGTGTTGTTTCCCAACCCCTTGGCTCCCCCTAAGCTGCAGTGGGACCCGGAGGGTGGGAGAGGAGGCCGAGGTACACCTGGAACCTGGGAATACTGATTCTGATCCGCAGTCCCTTGGCCTGGTCCCCCATGTACACACACACACGCGCACGCACGTGCACACACACACATACGCATGTCGGCACACATAGCGACTTAGCTGACGCACAAGTACTCTCCAGTACCTCCTGGTAGACACACAGGCCAAGTCCTCTTCCTCAGACACAAACATGCCTCCGTGCACACACTTTCTCAGGCCAGGAACACTCCCCTCTTCCACTCCCTGCACCTCCCATCTGGTGGTCCACCCTCACCCCCTCCCAGCCTATGGTGGGGACAGACACCTGAGGGGCTGCTAGCTAGCTTCCTTGACCGGGCCGGGCCACCCTCACGCTTCTTGCCGTCTTGTCCACAGGGGACTCGTGGGGGATGCTCGCGTGCCTGTGCACCGTGCTCTGGCACCTCCCTGCAGTGCCAGCCCTCAACCGCACAGGGGACCCGGGGCCTGGCCCCTCCATCCAGAAAACCTATGACCTCACCCGCTACCTGGAGCACCAGCTCCGCAGCTTGGCTGGGACCTATGTGAGTATCCAGGGCAGCTCAGGGGCTGGGAGTTGGGTGAAGAATGGGAGTGGGGGAAGAGAGGCCCACCGGTGGGGGTCCTGGTGAATGATGGGGTGATGGGGAGGGCCTGTCCCCGCCCTTCCCTCTTAGGGAGGGCGCCCCTCCTCCCCATCCCTGGCCCCAGGACTAGGCATGTGGGCAGGCCTCGCACCCGCCTTGGCCCGTCGCCCCGCTGGCTGCCGGCCCAGCCGCCCGCCTCCCCCTGGGGGCCGGGGAAGTCTCCTCTGTTTACACCGTGTTGTGGTGTCTCTCGCGCACGGGTGGGGCTGGGTGGGGATGGAGGGGCCCCACCTCCCGTGCCTGTGTTCCAGCTCGTCTCTGCCCCAGACCTGGGGCCCTGCAGCTCTGGACCCATGGGCCTCCCTTCTGTCTGCCTCTCCCATCCTAGCTGGGCCTCCTAGGGGGGACTTGGGGGAAGGGGGCTGCAGGGAACCCAGGCCAGGAGTGGCAGGGGGTTCAGGGTGTAGTTGGACCCTGTGCCATAAGGATCTGGGGGCGGTCCAGAGGTGCTCAGAGAGCCCAGGAGGGAAGGCAGGAGGGTCAGGGTTCCGAGGACCGTGGGGAACTGGCCCCTCTTCCCGTGTTCCTCTTCCACATCCCAGACCCTACTTTGGAGCCAGGGAAAGAAAGGGGAGGAGGGTGGCGGGGGGAGCTGGCTCCGGCCCCAGGATACACCGAGGAAATGAGTTTGTCTCTGTGCTTGTCAGCGTGGGAACCTCCCCCGGGCCCTTGCCTATCCCAGGCCTCGCCCCTCGCTTCTCCCTTTCTCTCCCAGCTGAACCATCTCCCTCGCCCTTTCCCGGGGCCCCAGGCCTCTCCCCGGAGGCTTGGCAAGGCTCTCTCCTCTTCCCCAGACTGTCCTCGATACCCTTCCTCCTGCCCAACTCTTGAGATGGCCTCACTTTCTTCCTTCTGCAGCCTCGCGCCTATGAGCGCTTCTTTGGGGGCTTAGTGAGTACCTTGTCCCCTGCCCTTCAGCTGGTGGACCATGCGTGCCAAGGGGCAAAGGCAGCTCGGATGGTCATGAGCCCCTCTGCCTTTCCACCCAAGGCAGCTTGGATGCTCACGGGCCCCTCTGCCTTTCCACCCGCTCTTCCCTCTCTGGTTTCCCGTCCAGAAAACCTTTGCTTGACTGCTACCCCCCTAGCTCCCGACCCTTTTTCTCCCCGGGCTGCCAAATCTCTTGAAGGAGTGGTCTGCAGCCTCTGCCTCCACTTCCTCTCCACCCACTCACTCCTTAACCCCCTGCAATCTGGCTTCGAGGCCACTGGAACGGTTCTCTCCAAGGTCGTCAGGCACCTCCTTCTTGCCAAACCCAATGGCATTTCTAAGGTTCATTCTCCTCGCTCTCTGTTTTGCAGCCCCACTGCTGAGCGTTGCTGCCTTCTTGAACTCCTCTCCTTGGCTCTGACTCTCCTGGTCCACCTTCACCTCTGCAGCCTGGCCTCCTGGGTCCTCATGGCTCCTCTTCCTCTCTGTCCCAACCCCCACGGCGGGCGCTCTCCCAAGGCTGGTACTCTCAGCCAATCAGCGCATCCTTCCTGAGTTTCTCCTGCGTGTTATTCTCTTTCTGCACGTCTCCATAGGAGAGCTCATCACCCCCATTGCTTCAACTGTCACCTCCATGCAAATGACATCCCCGGAGAAACTTAACTTAGGGGAGGCCCGAGAACAGAGAGGCCTAGCGTGGAGGTGGGGCCCGTGTCAGGGGACACAGGAAATAGCAGCTTTGGGGGCAGGTATCTCCCGGCAGGCAGGCGAGCTGGCTTCTCCGCCCCCCTCCCTCCCCATCGCCCTCTCCTTTTCACAGCTGAACTACCTGGGCCCCCCTTTCAACGAGCCTGACTTCAACCCACCTCGGCTCGGGGCGGAGACTCTGCCCAGGGCCACTGTCGACCTGGAGGTGTGGCGAAGCCTCAACGACAGACTGCGGCTGACCCAGAACTACGAGGCCTACAGCCACCTCCTGTGCTACCTGCGTGGCCTCAACCGCCAGGCCGCCACGGCTGAGCTGCGCCGCAGCCTGGCCCACTTCTGCACCAGCCTCCAGGGCCTGCTAGGCAGCATCGCGGGCGTCATGGCAGCTCTGGGCTACCCGCTGCCCCAGCCTCTGCCCGGGACTGAGCCCACCTGGACGCCTGGCCCTGCCCACAGTGACTTCCTCCAGAAGATGGATGACTTCTGGCTGCTGAAGGAACTGCAGACCTGGCTGTGGCGCTCGGCCAAGGACTTCAACCGGCTCAAGAAGAAGATGCAGCCTCCGGCAGCCGCAGTCACCCTGCACCTGGAGGCCCATGGCTTCTGATCCCTGACCTTCACCACCGTCTCTTTCCCCTCCCCCTTCAAGCCCTGCTCCCACTCTGGGAGGGAGAAAGGCGTACACCAACACTTGTTGAGCCAGGAGACAGAAGCCATGAGCCTCTAGCCCTCCCTGGACTGGGAGGAGGGTGTGATGCAATAAGGCCCATCCCCTCCCCGCTTCCCTAAGTCCTACGTGTCTGGGGAAGAGGTGCAATAGGCCCCATCCCATTTCCACAGGACGTGATGCTCAAGGGAGCCCACAATGGTTCAAGTTGGTGCAAGGCTCTCACAGCTTCCTGCTCCCTGCCAACCACTTGCCAGCCCACCCAGCCCCTCAAGTGGCACTGCCAGGAAGCGTGCCTGTAGGGCAGGGAGGGGGCCACCATCGCATGTGCCTTTCTGGGGTGAAGCCCTTTGGCTGCCCTGCTCTCCTTAGATGGGTGTTGCTCCCCTACCCCCAAATAACTCAATACATCCGATTCAGGAAACAAACACAGTGGCAAGTCCAAACAGGAAGAGATGGGATCAAAAATGGAAGAGGTGGGATCTGCATTGGAGGTAATACTGAAAGCAGAGGGGCAGGGACAGACTGGACCCAGGGGTCCCCAAGGCAGTCGGTGGCACAGGGTGGCAACCAAAAGGACATTGCCTTGAATTTTCTTGCCAGCCCCAGGGTGCCTCCAATCCGCCCCCTTTCCCAGGGTATCTGTGGGTTGCCCAGGCTGGGGAGGGCAGCCATAGCCACAGCCACAGAACTTCCTGAAAGTTTACATTGCAGTAGCATTTCGGGGTGCGGGGGGGCAGCTCCCCCAGGCCCTGCCCCCCAGCCCCACCCACTCATGACTCTAAGTTTGTTGTATTAATATTTATTTATTTGGAGATGTTATTTATTAGATGATATTTATTGCAGAATTTCTATTCTTGTATTAACAAATAAAATGCTTGCCCCAGAACTTCATCTCTTTGCTTGGCCTTGCCCCGCCCCCTGGCTCTCCTCCTTGTTCTCCAGGCCTTCCCGCCTCCTCCCCCCCCCCTCGCCCCCCCCCCCCCCCCCCCCCCCCCCCCCCCCCCCCCCCCCCCCCCCCCCCCCCCCCCCCCCCCATCCCCCCCCCCCCCCCGCCCCGGCCCTACACCTGCTGGTGGAGGGCCAGAAGCCCAAGGGTTAGCTCAGGAGATGCCAAGAGCTGGGGAAGAGGCTCTCTCCCCTGTGTCCACTGGGAAGACATGAACACGGCAGACTCCACTGCTGCCCCTCCACCTACCCCCTCCTCTAGGCCTCCCAAATATCTGTCTGTCGCTTACTTTCCTTCTCCCAGCCTTTGCTCGTCTACCTCACTCTGGCTTACTTTAGTGGTCTTATGGGTCTGTCCCCCTGCACAGCTGTCTTTCTGCCCTCCGGTGCTCTCTCCGAGCCCCGCGCATTTAGCCCTCAGCTTCCCCAGGACACCCACCTGTGGCCGGCTGCCGGAGTCCCTCAGCAGTGACCCTCACCTTCTCAATACCCTTCATCTCCCAGGGAGGGTGACAGACTGAGGCCAAGTGTCAAGTCTCAGCTGTGACTCTACACTTTTCTCTCCAACATAAAACAGCCGATTAGGGGGAGAGAGAGAAACTCATATTGGACCGCGAGCAAACGGGACAGATGCTGTTTGAGGGATGACCTAAGATCAAATCCCAGGTCCATAACCTACCAGCTGAGTGACCTTGAACAAATGATTTAAAGCTCTCTATCCTCCAGTTTCTCCATCTGTAAAATGGGAATAATCAATACCTTTATAAGAACGTTGGAAAGGATAAGAGAAACAATGAAGGGAAGATGCTTGGCTGAGGCAGCGGCGGTCAGTAATCACAGATGACTGATGTCTGGCGTGTCAGGACGCTCTAGTGAAGAGCCACTGGGTAGATCGATGGGCTAATTGCTCCCAGGTAATACGGGGATACTTTACCAGGGCCTCCTGGAGACAGTGCCCTAAGCAAAGGAAGCAACAAACGATGGTGATGTCAATCAGTTGACAAATATTTTAAAGACCTAACTACCTGCCCATCACCGTGCTAACTGGTGTTGGAGAGCCTAAAGAAGTCCAAGGCCTGACTTGGCTCCTGCCCTTAAGAGCCTGCAATCTCTCTGGGAAGAGAGCGAGCTTACCTAAGCCGATAAGAAACAAAAGCACACTCACATGATGTGCACTGGGAGACAGTGACAAGTGCAGAGCCACCAGAAGAGGGGGAGCTGGGAGTATAGGTGCAGGAGCGACAGGACCTGCTTGTGGGCGGGGTGAGCCAGGCTCTGCCGAAAGTCCCTGAGTCACCTGACCCAAGTTGGGGGGAACACATCCACCCAGAGGAGTCCAGGCTCTTCTGGCAGAGATGGCTGCCCAGGTGTGGCCAGGGGCAGCTGCAGGCCCCACCACCAGCCTAACTAGATAGAAAGGAGAGGGCCTCTGGGCTGTCTCCATCCAGAGGCTGTGCTGTGAGGCACCTAGCAAGGGGCTAAATGGGATACAGGGAGAAGGAAGGTACGTCCCACGCTACATACTGTGAGCTTCCTGGGGGCAGATTCTGAGTCTTCCCCTTCTCTCTGTCCAGCACCCAGCTCAGGCTCAAGCTCAAGTCCAAAGAAGGTGTTCAATTAGTGTGTTGAACAAAATCTGGGAAGAGGGACCAGCCCCCCCCATCCCCCCATCTTCACCCCCTGCCAAATGCTAGAATCCAAAGCAGAATTTGATTAAGTGCAGAAAGACGCAGGCAAAATACTATTTAAGTCAAGGAGGGAGCGATCGCATCCAGTTGGGCGAGGGCCCTGCTGGTCTGCTGGGCCGTGGGCCCCACAGGGCAGGAAGTGGCGTCTGAAGTCCACGCTGTACTCCCAGTACCTAGGACACAGTAAGTGCTTCCGCGTGGGACCGGACGCCGTTCTTGGAGGATGGGCAGGACAAGGGCTGTTGTGTCTGCCTCCCTTTTAAGCAAGTAGCATCGTGAGGGCAGCCTCCCCATGTATTCATCTTTGCATCCCTGCAGCATTTTAGCACAATGCTGGGCACAGGATAATGTACTCGATAATTTGATTTAAACAGATTTAAAGAGTGTCAAGACAATAGTGCGTGAAAAGCCAAGAGAAGAGAGTCTCAAGGAGGCAGCTGATCCGCAGTGTCAGATGTCCCAGGAGAGCGGAGGGGAGACAGGGTGGGGGTGGGGGTGGGTCTCCTCCCTGATTACCACCTCTCTGGTAATCAGGGAGTCACAGGCCACCTTGGCAAGAGCAGTTGAGAGACACCGAATTGTGAGATTAAAGATGGAGATGGTGAGAAGAAAGTCGGAAGGGTAAATCTATTCCCTCCGGAGTTTGGTGGCAAAGTCAACATCTAGAGGGAGCAGCAGGATCACGGAAGGTTGTTTGTTTGGTTGGTTTTTGCTGTTGCTGTTTTTTATAAATTTATATTTATTTATGGCTGCGTTGGGACTTTGTTGCTGCGCGCGGGCTTTCTCTAGTTGTAGCGAGCGGGGGCTATTCTTCGTTGCGGTGCACGGGCTTCTCATTGCGGTGGCTTCTCTTGTTGCAGAGTATGGGCACTAGGCATGCGGGCTTCAGCAGTTGTGGCACGTGGGCTCAGTAGTTGTGGCGCACAGGCTTAGTTGCTCCGCAGCATGTGGGATCTTCCCAGACCAGGGCTCGAACCCGTGTCCCCCGCGTTGGCAGGCGGATTCTTAACCACTGCGCCACCAGGGAAGTCCCCTGTTGTTATTTTTTTTAAATTTTTGTTTGTTTGTTTGTTTTTTTGTGGTACGTGGGCCTCTCACTGTTGCGGCCTCCCCCGTTGCGGAGCACAGGCTCCGGACGCGCAGGCTCTGCGGCCACGGCTCACGGGCCCAGCCGCTCCACGGCATGTGGGATCTTCCCAGACCGGGGCACGAACCCGTGTCCCCCGCATCGGCAGACAGACTCTCAACCACTGTGACACCAGGGAAGCCCCCTGTTGTTGTTTTTAAATGAAAGAGATCAGAACATGGTGCTGCTGTGTGAGGGGTGGTGGCTGGAGAAGGATTGGGAGGTTTGGGGAATGGAATCAGGGACAAACAGAAGAGAATCAAAAGGGTTGCTGGGTAGCCATGTGGCACCAGGGACATCAGCAAACACATCTCTGTCATGGACTCATTGGCATGACTGTGACATTCCCTGACATTTCCTAGCAAGCCAGAGGCGGGGACAGAGTGAAGAGAGGCTATTGCCCAAGGCTGAGGACAGGCAAGCAGGGATGGCAGTGAATCAAAGGGCGAGAGACTCTAGAGGGCTAGAGATTGCACTCTGAGTGGCTGCCAGCCCAGCGCTGCATATGCCTACAGGGTGGGGAGTAGAGGGAACCAGTGGCAGGGGTGGGGGGCAGGGGGTGGACGCAGAGGGGAGCCCGGCCAGAAAGGGCATTTCAGAGTTTGAGTTCTTGAACTCTCCCCCAACAGTTCCCTACTGATGAGGTCAGGGGTGTGAGTCCTTCCTTTGGGTTTGGGTGCTGTGGACCACCAGGCGGGTAGCTCCACATGAATGACAGCTCATCAGGTTTTCTGTGAATGGGTTTGTCATTTGTTCTCCATCCACAGCTGCTTCAGGAGAGGTGATGAGTTTTCATTGGTTATCTTAGGTTCCACCTCTCAAGTACGGTCTTATAGTCAGGCGCCAACGTACACAGAGGTCAATTTAAGAACCTGGGACACCTAGGGCCCTGCAGAGTCACAGGGGGAAGGGCATTATCTCTAGAACGAATGCCTTCTGCTCCCAGGAAGGTTAGGGAGAGTGAGAGAGAAGGAGAAGGCCCTCCTCCCTGTCACCTCCAGATAGCATGCTGTGGAGAAATCTCATCCTCATCTTGGGTGCCTGGGAACACACCTGTGTTTGAGAGGATGCATACAAGATGGAGAACTGTCACTTGGGCGAGGCAACTTCTGGGGTGGGGGAGTGGATAGAGTAGAGGCTCTGCTGGGGGGTGGCAAGGGGGTAGTCATGCCTTGCCAGCTTCCTGCTTTTGCAAAGACTGACCCATATCCAGGACTTAGGCCCCCCTTGGTATGTGGGGAGACTCATTGAAGCACGCACCACACACACACACTCACACACACACATTCCCCACTTGCCATAGCCATCCCAAGTGGGGAAGGGCCAAGGGTGGCCCTTGTTCCCCTTAACCTACAGGGCAAGGGCTAGTGATCCAGGCCTGGCTGAGCGCTCTGATGGGTGGCTCCCCCTTAGCTCCCCCTTATTCTCTGGAGCCACAACTGTCCCTGCCTTTGTTCCTTCAATTCTTGAGCTCCCTGACTCAGCCTGGTTCCCCAATTTCCCAGCAGTGGACAAAGCCGTTGTCAGTAGGCTGGGGGTAGGGGCATTGAGGGAGTAACTGTGAGCTTTAGAACCAGAGCTCTGGCCCTTTCCCCAACCTTCAGCATCCCTCAGCCTTCCTAGTTCAGAGGTCACTTCTAGGCCCCTCTCCAGTTTGTCCTGATCGCCAAGGCTAGGCTGATGGGGTGGAAACTAAGTAGGACCTTCCTCCCAGCTGGACAAAGTCTGACACCTGGTGGCCAAGGTGAGGAATGGCCGGAAGGGCCCCTTTTCAAACCTCCCTAGGATTGCCCTAGAGCCAGGAAGGCCAAGGTGAAAGGGGAGGTGATGGGAGGAGGTTTGGGTGGGGTGTTTGGGACAGAGCAGAAGAGACGTCCAGCGGCAAAACACCCAGACCTAGGGGAACTTTTGCCTTCCGCCCCTTAAGCCCACGGGGCCAGAGAGCCTGGAGCAGGAGGAAGGAGGGTGTCCGGGAGGGTCAGGAGGGACCAGGAGGAGCTGCCTGAAAGAATTTGCCCCACAGGGTGGAGAACGGGGCAAAGGGTGGGAGTCTGGCTCCCAGAATCTCCAGCTCAGGGTGGGTGGCAGGGCCTGAGGGCCTGAGGAAGGGGGATGCAGGGAGAGGGACGGAGAGCGGGTTACACCCCGT